TAATCAAAGATACTATTGCAGACACTCTAAGAACAAAGTTCTGAGGAATACTCAGAAATCATGTGCTCTAAGAACAAGGTTCTGAGGAATACTCAGAAGTCATGTGATCTTCTACAGGGAACAACAGAGAGACAAATTAAAAACTAGCTAAACTAGCTCTAGAATTTTAACAGACATTAAATTAGTGTGTTTGATGTAAACAAATATAATTCATACCTACAAATGTAAGTGAATTTCCACAAATACTAATAAATGTATAATATGTAGTATGAACCCAATGGGTGTAAATTAACTTTGACTTCATTGCTGGAACCAAGTCACTAATAATAGTAATAATATAAGCGAGTTAATTTAGTAGCAGTCTTGAAATATAGGAATAGTCTAGTCCTGAATGTACAATGTTTAGGAAATGTAATCCCACTGTGAATTATTACTTATTTTACTTTGTTTAACTTAGTATCCACTAATGTTTTATTTTATAACCTGTATTTTCCCAATTTAGTAAAGCATATATCATTTCAAACCTTCTATTGTAATTTGAACATACACTTAGGCTACACTCAGTCTCACTCTGATAAAAATGTTTAGTCAAGAAAAATGTTACAATATTCAGTACCATCAAAATAAGACTTTAAAACACCTTAGTCTAGGGCCATGTAGGTGGCAGTGGAGAGGTAGGCAAGCAAACAATAGGGTTTCAGTTCCCTGTATAAGTTCTGGTTTAGAGGTCTACACCAAAGGGCTGTGGCAGCACTGTGGCAGCACTGCAGAACCCCTAACCGGCAGGCCTAACAGCATGATGATGGGGTGAGGAGTAAGGAGGCAGTTAGAGAGGGCACCTCATAGTGAAGCCTGAATAGTGTCTTCAAGAATTACAGGTTATCCTAGTGGGTAAAAGACCCATCTGGGGAGAGGCTATAGCACTTGCAAATGTATAGAAACCTCTAAGAACTTGGGAGATCCAGGGAACCGACAGAGGTCAGAAATAAGATGAAAGAAATAAGTAGGCATTAAGCCTTGTGAACCTCTCGCTTGTGGGCAAGAATGGCCTGTGAAGTCTAGTAAAAAGAGTAGTGATGTGATCAGGCATGTATTTCATCATTTTAATTGTTTACTTTTATTTTATTTCCTGAGGGAGACAGATAAATAGAGAGACAGGCACTCCTGACAGGGTCTGGTCATGCCATAAACCCCCTCCTCCAGCCCTCCCGCAAGTCAAGATCTTGGGCAAGTATGCCTGGCGTGTTTTCTGGCTGATTTCAGATTCAAACCCACAGTTGTCCATGTGGCTTCCAGCACTGCTGATTACTACACCACCCTATGCGCCAGGGAAGCTGGACAAAGGTAGGTATTTTAGAAAGACACTCCTGGAAAAGCAACTTCAAGTAGAGCAAGACAATCAAGAGAGAAACTAAAGTTCTAAAATAAGGAGTTGGAGCAACAAGAACATTTTTGAGAAGGATATTAAAATTAAGAAAGGATAGAACTCAGAGATGGAGGAGGAAGGAAAGGAGAAGGACTGCTTGATTCTGACTACTCAGTAGCTGATGATGTCATGCCCTGAGAAGGGTAATACTGGAACAGAGGAGGTGGGGAAAGAGATTGGGAGAGAGGAGGTCAAGCAAGCTCAGTTTTCCTCTGCTAAGTCTGTGGCAGGGATGTCTAGAGATAGTTTGAGATACAAGAACAACTGAATACTCACTGAAGAGTATTTCGGTATCTCCTGTATTATTAACATCTAACATTAATCAAGTGTTTGCTCTAAGGGAGGCATGTATAAGCACTTTAGACACCATCTTTTTTTGTCTTCCCCACCCTATAGATAAGGAAGAGTTTAAGTTATTTCTTAATGGTTACAAAGTAGTCAGGGATCAGGCATGTCTGATATCACAGCCCAAGTCTTATTATACTATACTAACTGTGCTGTATTTTACAAAATCTATTACAGATCTGAGGGCTAGATAAAAGTGGGTTCAATTCTAATCTTTGCCACTCAACACCTGTATGACTTGGACATTTTCAAAGCCACACTTTCCACCTTCATATAATAGTGGTATTAAAAATTACATTGCAAGGATATGTTAAGGATTG